GGAAGAGACGGTCCTTCAGGTAAGCCGGACCCTGGCCGGGATGGGCCATAGCTTAGTGGAAGAGTCTCTGCTTTGTATGCAGAAGGTCCCAGGTTCGAGTCCGACTCCTGGCATTTCCAGTCAAAAGTTTCAAATCATAGATGATGTGAAAGCCCTCCATTTTAAAAACCTGGAGAGCTGCTGCCGGTCAGAGCAGGCAATCCTCTGTAGATGCATGCATGATCCAACACTGTCTTAAGGCAGCTTCTTTTCGAGAGGTGCTATGGCTTAGTGGTAGAGCATCCGCTTGGCTTGCACACTCCAGGTTCAACCCTCACCATCTCCAGTTGAAAGCATGAGGTAGGCCAAGGGGCCAACTCAGTAAAAGGGCAGGTACTTCTAGGGAGGGGGCTGTGGCGTGCAGAAGGTCCCAGGTTCAATCCCCAGCATCTCCAGTTGAAAGGATCAAGTAGACCAAGGGTCCAACTTAGTAAAAAGCAAAGGGGCCATGGCTCAGTGGTAAAGGATCTGCTTGGCGCACAGAGGGTCCCAAATTCAATCCCTGGAGGCATCTCCAGCGAACGGATCTGGTAGCATAAGAATATAAGAGAAGCCATGTTGTAGCAGCTCAATGGCCTCTCCAGTCCAACACTCTGTGTCATACAGTGGCCAAAACCCAAGTGCCACCAGAAGGTCCACCAGTGGGACCAGAAGCCCTCCCACTGTTGGCCCCCAAGCACCAAGAAGACAGAGCATCACTGTCCCAGACAGAGTGTTCCCTCTATACCTTGTGGCTAAGAGCCACTGATGGACCTCTGCTCCAGATGTTTCTCCAATCCCCTCTTGAAGCAGATGATGTGAGAGACCTCTCTACCTAAGATCCTGGACAGCTGCAGCCAGTCTGAGTAGACAGTGCTGACCTTGATGGACTGATTCAGGATAAGGCAGCTTGATAAATGTTCATGTGTACCTGAAAGGTTAATGTGGTTAAGATCCTAAGCATTCCCAGCATTTTCCCCCTTGAAGTCCTCAAAGAAGAGAATATCCCCGACCCCTCATTCCTTTTCTTAATTTCTTTCCATTCCTTAACTGGGATTGTCTTTGCTTTTTCGGTGGCAGGGGGCATTAACGGGTGTCACTGCAGATTTCCTGGGGGCAGAAGAGGCTCTGACATACCCCAGACAGAGGCTGCTGTTCGGCAGGATTACTCAGGAGGGGGACCATGATGCCACCTGGATCAGTAAGGGTTTTTATTTATTTATTTATTTATTTAGAAGAAGAAGAGATTAGATTTATACCCCACCGTTCACTCAGAGTCTCAGAGCTGCTTACAGTCTCCTTTCCCTTCCCCTCCCCATGAAGTAGGTGGGGCCGAGAGAGCTCTTTCAAGGACTGCTCCTGAGAGAACAGCTCTGAGAGAACTTGTGACTGACCCAAGGTCACACCAGCAGCTGCGAGTGGAGGCGTGGGGAATCAAACCCGGCTCTCCAGATTAGAGTCTGCGCTCATAATCACGGCACCAAACTGTGTTAATCATTTACCTTCCTTCTTGAGACTCAGGGGAGATGGCAGAGTGATATGAACAATTCAGGAAAAGCTGGTATAATTCGTACAATGAATGGTGCAATAAAACTGGATTAGTGGTGGTGGTGGTGGTGGAGGAAACTGCCATTGTGTGTTTTCAAAGAGTTTTCAAAGCAGGAAACAGCAGGGGTGGTTGGCCGTTGCCTGCCTCTGCGTAGCAACCCTGGGCTTCCTTGGTGGTCTCCCATCCAAGTACTAACTAGGGCTGACCCTGCTTAGCTTTTGAGGTCTCATGAGATCAGGCTAGCCTGGGCCATCCAGAGTCCAGTAGCACCTTGAAGACTAAGAAAATTTGTAGCAGCATATGAGCATTCGTGAGTCTTTGCTCACTTTTTCAGAACTCTTGCTCTTTTCTACTGCTACGGGCAGACTAACCTGGACCATCTAGGTTAGGGTAAAACTGTATTACCCAATTAAAAACCGCTAAAGGAAAAAGAGTTCCATCTATCCAATCCCATGGATTTTGGACTTAGAGGATACAAAGAAAACTGCCTACATTTTTCACAGGCAGTTATCATGTCAACACTATTGCCTTGATAGAAAGAGCCATCTTTCTGCTTGGTCTTTTCTCTTGGTCACTCTGAAACCGACAGAATGCTTTTATGTTCCCCTGAATGCATAAGGAAGATGCTAATCTACAGCCTTCTCCACACATTATAAGTGCAAAGAGTTTATATACTATGCTGTATTGAGGCAGAGATTTGTAATCTTACTGATACCCCAGTGCCTTCTGAACTAGAAATTGATTTTGGGGGCCTGGCAGATAGCACATTGATTGTGCCAGATTTTCAGCTGGGGGGGGGGAGAGGAATGGAACTTTTGTGTTTGGGATTCTTTTGAAAGGGGCTGAAAATGGGCCATAGCATAATGTGTATTTAGAAATAACCAAAGACTATCATCCTAGATGGACTTAAGAAAAGCCTAAACAAATTTCTGGAGGAAAGGTCTGTCAAAGGCTGTTTGCTATGATGGATCCTCCGTGTTATAGCTCTGAAAACCAGTTAGCGAGGGCAAGTTACCCCTGTAATGGGTTTCCTGAAGGCATCTGGCTGAAAGAATACTGAAGTAGGCAGACTTTTTGGCCTTCTATCTACTTCACTGTGCCCGGTGGACAACAGGAAGACACATTTTTTTTTCATACAAGGAACTGAAATACAAGAAGGAAACTACAACAGATCTTCCTGCCACAAAAGGAAAAGAAGGGTTCTATAACAAATTATATATATATCAAAGGTTATTATACATTAAAGTAAAGGTAAAGGTTCCCTTGCTCGAAAGCCAGTCGAATCCAACGCTAGGGTTGCGGTGCTCATCTCCGTTTCCAAGCCGAAGAGCCAGCACTGTCCGAAGACATTTCTGTGGTCATGTGGCCGGCATGACTAAATGCCAAGGCGCACGGAACGCTGTTACCTTACCACCAATGTGGTACCTATTTATCTACTTGCAATTTCTTGCTTTCGAACTACATTACGGGGCACATAAAACAGAAAGTATTGCTCCTCAACATCCCCTTCAATATACTTTTAAAGACATTTTCTACATAATACAGTAGTCCTTACTTCAAACATTTTAAATTTCAAATTTTATAACTTATCTATTTTGCAACTATATTATTAATTTCATCATTACGACATATTCTACCTATGTCATCATTTCTACATACTAGCTACAGCTTTAAATGTACCAAAGTTTAAAAGAAAATCTATTATATATATCTCACAATAAAACATAAAGAATATTTTTGTGCAAATGCAAAATTCACTTCCTTATACATTTACATTCAAAACTTGCTCTCGTTTGGCTTCTACATTGTAATACGTTTTTATGTGTTGCGATACATTTGTGTACGATTTTCGAACTGTTTCCCATTCTAAATTTCAAACTGTTTCTCATTCCAAGTTCATCTCCTGCTTACATAATAGGCACTCCGTCTCCCCTCAGATTTCGAAATTGATCTGTTTCTCAAATAAGTTGTTAATTTCGCCATTAGGACATCATGGACAAGTTTGTTTCCCCATTCTGAGCTTGGACAGACTTCCCACCATCTTTTGTATCCATCACAGATGGTGATAAGATGTCAGCCGCATGCCCTCGGTCATCAGTTTATGATCCTGTGGACCCAGCTCCTGTGCAACCAGATCAGGTAGGAGATGGATTATTGTCAGGGCTTTTTTTGTAGAAAAAGCCCAGCAGGAACTCATTAGCATAATAGGCCACACCCAACAACAGAAACTCATTAGCATATCCAGCCACACCCATGAGAGCATAGCTCATTAGCATATTAGGCCGCACCCCCATGTTACCAGAAGTGTGCTCATCGAGCCACACCCATCTTTTGCTTGTTATTCTGTTTACCTTGTTTGTTGTCAAAACTCAGGGCTTTTTTTGTAGCAGGAACTCCTTTACATGTTAGGCCACACCCCTAATGTAGCCAATCCTAATAAGTTTCTGCTATTGGGTGTGGCCAATTATGCTAATGAGTTCCTGCTGGGCGTGGCCAACTTGGGAGCCAGCCGGAACTCCGTTCCTGTGCGTTCCTGCCCAAAAATAGCCCTGATTATTGTAGAGAAGGACACAGTGGCCAACTTGGGTGCTTCCGTCCCTCTTACAAAGCATGCTACTTTTTCACTTTGCTTCCGCCAAGATGTTAATGCTGTTTGTGACGGACCTTCAGCCTGCCTTGAAGTGCCCCTTCAGGCTGTGCTAAGACGTGAACAGCTACTGTGTCATCTTCTTCCAGGGTTCGGTGTCCTTTGAGGAGGTGGTGGTGTGCTTCACTGAGGAGGAGTGGGCTTTGCTAGATCCAGCCCAAAGAGCCCTGCACAGGGAAGTCATGCTGGAGAATTATGGGATCGTGGCCTCTTTGGGTAAGTTTCCCTTGATTAGCCTTATCCCAGATCTTCAGCGTCTCCACTGGGTTTGGCCCACTAGCTTGACCCAGATAAGAAGGAGGTGGTGTTGTCTGCTAAGGGAGCTGATCTCAGGCTAGGTATACAGCCTGTTTTGAATGTGGTTTCACTCCCTCTGGAAGAATGACCATACAATGATGAGAGGCTCTTTGATACTCTGTCAAATCTACCTGCCCACTTAATTTTGGGGACTGTCTAAGGAAATGACGGGATAGTCACTGAAGAAACTGTCCTTTTATATGCCGTCACTCAGAACAGCAGCTAATTCATTTTGTTCCTTGGTTTCAGGCTCCATTCCTCCTTCCGGATCTTAATAAGTATTCTCTTGCTTCATCCAGCAGGCGATGGGTGGAAGAGTGAGACTGAGGAAGATCTATTTATGGTGTCCTGGGGACTGAGCAGATCTAAACAGGCAAAAAAACAGAGACGGAAAACCAGTCTAGCCAGGAAGAATGAGTCCTTTCCTTCTCAACTTGGTGACTTCCAAGAAATCCCAGGGCAAGCAAAAATAGACAAAAGCAAGAAAAGATATAAGTGCCCTCTGTGTGGGAAAAGCTTCAGTTTTAAGTCAAGGCTGAATCTTCATTGGAGAATCCACACTGGAGAGAAACCGTATAAATGTTCAGAGTGTGGGAAGTGCCTGTGTAGCAATGCGAGCCTTCAGACTCATCTGCGAATGCACACAGGGGAGAAGCCGTTTGAATGTTCAGAGTGTGGAAAGAGTTTCAGTCGGAGGCACAAGCTTATAAGCCATCAGAGACTTCACACCGGGGAGAAACCATATAAATGCACTGAGTGTGGGAAAGGCTTTTGTGAGATCTCGAGCCTTAAGAGACATCAAGGAATCCACACAGGGGAGGACTATAAATGCTTGGAGTGTGGAAAGAGTTTCAGTCAGAAGTCAGACCTTAGAAGACATCAAAGAATGCACACGGGAGAGAAGCCCTATAAGTGTCTGGAGTGTGGGAAAAGCTTCACTTGGAGCAAAACTCTGATTTACCATCAAAGAATGCACTCGGGCGAGGATCCATTCAAGTGCTTGGAGTGTGGAAAGAGCTGCAGTACAGGGTCCGACCTTAGCAGACATCAAAGAATGCACACAGGGGAGAAACCGTTTAAATGTCTGGTATGCGGGAAGCACTTCACTCGGAACATACATCTTACTTCGCATCAAAGAATGCACACAGGAGAAGAACCATATAAATGTTCGGAGTGTGGGAAGAGCCTGAGCACCAGCTCAGCCCTCGCTAGGCATCAGAGAATCCACACAGGGGAGAAACCGTATCAATGCTCAGAGTGTGGAAAGAGTTTCACTTGGAGTACGTCCCTGACTTCCCATCAACGAATGCACACAGGGGAGATTCCCATACCTAAGAATTGCCACAACATGGAAACAACTTCCATTGAAGTTCAGATCATCATATAAGGGGTTTCTACTCCAGCAAAAATACAAAAATTGAGTTTTTTCACCCAATCAAAGCCCGGGGAGGGGGGGGACTGCTTATTTCCCTCTGTCTCTATTTTAAGCCTCTCTCTTCTGTCCTAAGTTGTAAACAAAACAAATGGTTTGAATGAGAGAAAGCTACAATAGCAACATGCCAGTTCACCAGCCAGGCATGTCTATAAAGTCTATACTGTGTTTAGTGGACAGATACGAATATCACCAGGCATCATGTATTAGATAAGATATCACAAGCACAGGCTATAATGCTAAGAGTGTATCTTTACCTGGTCAGTTGTCATGAGTGAGAATCTTTTCAGCTTGGTCACCTCATTTTCAGACTTTGAGACGTATTCTCCAAGAAATGTCTGGTAAGGTTTTCCCCCAGTTTGAATGTAAGATTCCCCAGGAGCTGTAAATTGTTTGGGATGTTTTACAGTTTTTCCATGTTTGGTTGCTCCTTGTAGAAGCATCATACCAACTTGTTCTCTGTGTAACACCATTTCCCCCTGTTTATTTCCCCCTTAATTGACTCTCAACAGCTCTTAGTACTCCACACCAATTGAGGTATACTTATGAAGGTTGACGAGGGTTCAAAGAAGACCAGACACAAATGGCTGCAGGAAACTCTGTGTCTCAGCCAGGCTGAGCACAAATATTTATTGAAAATTTCTCCCTCCGCCCCCTCCCTTTCTTCTCCCTGCGTAAGGGATAGTTACAGGCATACGTTCATAGCATGGAATGTGTTGATTCCAACAGCTCACAGCTCCCTATCTCCTTCGCCCCCTTTTGCCAAGGTTGCTCCTCACGATGAGCTCAGCACATCAGCAGATGTTTCTGCCTTGTGCAATTAGCCTGAGACCTGGGTTCCCAACCTCTAGCCAGGAGAACAGCCAAGAGAACAGTGAATCCATTCGGGTTTGCCACGCAGATGTCTGCACTGCTCTCCTACATACTTAGTCTGCCTTGGGTATTTTTCTGCTCCTGGCGAGCTTTCAAAATCTCGTTTTTCAGCATAAGGTGAGGAGTCCCCCAAGTATTCCTTTGCTGCCTAGTTTTGTTGGGCTCATGACCAACCAGAGCCACCCACATGACTACGGGATCTACCAATGGCTTTGCTTTTCCTTCATTTCATGTTGTCCTAGATTCCATGCTGGGAATAAAGTTTCTGGGTTTTGAGGGCCCCGGTCACACGGGCTGGATATCGCAGGGGGGGGAGGCATGGCTGTTTGCCCTAGAGTAAACTACCGTGCGGCAGCGGGATCAAACGTCCCGCCGACGTCCCGTGGTTGGGGGGAGGTGCCGGGGAGGTGCCGATCATACCTCACTCCTGCGGCGCGGCAAAGAAGCTGATTGGCAGGGGTTGGTTTTTTTTTTACCCAAGTGTTCGCATGCTCCGTTGGGTGCTTGTGCACATCCGTGGAGACTTGGGGGGGGGGGGAACCTTTTCGCGACGGGACATGGGCAGGTGCTGGATGCTGCCACCGGAAACGTGATCAGACGCCGCCCTTGCCCCACGGTTTCCAGAAACTAGTACCTCGGAGGTACTAGTTTTTTACCCCGCCTCTTCGGCGGCAAGCCTCGGGTGAGCCACGGGAGCTCTACGCTTCCCAGATGTGGTGCTGTGATTGCGCCCGAAAAATCTGCCTATCTTCCATCTCTGTAGCGTGGCTAATGCTCCGTGTGACCGCAGCCGAGGACAGGTTTTTCTTCATGTGTCGCAGAAACTGTGCTGTTCTCCATCTTGCTAATTCACCAGCTCTAAAATGGAGCTTTCTGGGGAAAGAAATGACAAGAGACTTCTCAAACAATGAGATCTTTAGGCCAAAAATACAGACTCCCTGTTTCAGCCTTGGCATACACCCCCATTTGCAATATGAGGAGGATAATACTGACCGACCTTATAAAGGTGTTGTAACTATTGTACTAAAGTAATAACTACTTTGAAAGCACTGTATAAATGCTAATAATAATAATTATTATTAAGGCATATTCCTTCAGATCCTGAATGAATGACATCTTTGGCTCTGTCCCCTTGGTGTCAGCAGTGTGTGTAAGAATGTTTTATGGACAATATTATCCTTGTT